CTCCACCCCCTCCTCCTCCACCTCAAGCACCAATACTCGTCTCCATTGGCAGTAGTGGTGGCAGTGGCGGTGGCCGTGGTACCGATGAACCTCCACAACCTACCACTTCCAGCCCCCTTTCCTTCTTGGACGAGATTAGAGCATTCAACAAGGCGAAACTTAAAAATGTGAGTTGTCCAAAAACGTCGATTGTCTAAAGTTCTCACGATGCAGTGCACCCTTCTCACCTCCTCCTCCTCCCTCCAGTCTGCAATCCGCAGCGGCAAGGACTCAAGAATGGTCAGCTATTGACTACCTGAGAGGAGGTGGTTAGTGATTTCTTCTGGGCTTGTCATGGTGATAGGTTTGCGGATTCGTGACATGACACAGTAAATGTGCTGTGAATGTGTGTTTGTGAGGAAGGATTTACAATTCTTGTTTGTCTGCACAACTGTCATCTCGCCTTACAACTAGTCAGGACGTGGAGACAGTCGTGTTGGGCCACCGGCTGGCATCGGTGGCAGCATCTCTGCTTGGACCGACACATTGGTTTTGATGGCCAGCGCAGATGACGAGTCAATGAGTGTTCGAGACACGCGACTAAATCCTCACTTCGCTGTGCTGTAAGCAGAACTGCGCAAAGAGGTGGCGATTAATGCTGTCGGGGAAATGCCACACTCCTCGTGCTGCAATATCATTCCACTAGAGGGACGAGGGCTGTAGGCAGTAGACAAGGGAGGTAGTCGACTGATGTGTGGTGTAGCGACATTTCGTCATTCGCAAGGTTCTAGCAGCCATTCGTAGTTGTAAGGTGTGTGTTGGGAGGTGACAGGTGACTCGCTCCTGCTGTGCGTCAAACCCTGACTAGTCGAGTATTGCTGTGCTTACGAGTAGTTCATTCTTTTGACGACTCCACAGAAGCCATTCCAGATGCAATTTATGGTATACCGCAGAGAAAGAGAGCACAGAGGGTTGTGCTGTGACAACTGACAACAACCGCTGTCAGTTGAGGTCATCAGGAATGGCTTCAGTATTCCTCAAAACCAGTCATCACAACGCAGTTGAGTCCAGAGTTGACTGAGTTGCCTTTTTAGATTGAAACGGAGGCGGCTCCAACATCGCCCTCATCAGAGGTGAGCAGTCGTGAGTGTCTGGAGGCGTCGTTGAGTGATGCACTGAACAAACTACTCTCCCAGCGCCGACAATACCTCTCGGACGATGGGGGTGAAGCTTCGGATTAGTCTGGAAACCCTGCACCACCTCTTACCGTCTTCTCCCCACCCTTCTTATCACTTCCGCTCCTAACGATATTTCTCCATTGACCGTGTGCCTCCTCTTACCTCTGCCCTGTCCAATGCGTCCCTTTACGAGGCGAGGATGTGATTGGACGTGATTCCTCTCACATTCCAGACAGAAATACAACCCTTTGCTGTTGTTGAATTGCCT